AGCGTTCGTGCCGTCGTCCTCTTGAACATCGTTGTCGCTGGTGCCATCTTCGTCATTGTCGCACACGTTGCCGACGTCACCTTGTCACCGCGCACGTCTGAGTATCGTCGGTCTGCTCACCTTTCACCATCGACTCACGGTGACGAGCGTCGGCCGTGAGGATGTTATCATCGATGTCGTCATCGGTGGCGCCGCCGTCCCCCGCATCATGAGTTTTGCCAAACAAGTTGCGGGTGGGAGGGTGGGATGTTTGCGCGAGCAGTGGAGATGACGACTTCAAGTTCAGCAGAGTGGAGCGCACCACATAGAATGCTTCATATAGAGAAAATCAAAGGAATGTGCTAAAAACAATTCAGGGCCACGCTGGCTTTTTTACTGTACTACACTTCTATGGCCAACGAATGTGGAACGCATCGCATATCAGGCGTGCGAGTGTGGAGGGGGGGGGGGGGGTCGGTGCAAGCGTGGCTGGCGTGCTCTTATCGAGTTTTTAAGACGGATGATGGTGCCAAGCAACTATGAACATGAATGCCCCGATGGGTATCCCAAAGTGCAAACTCGTTCTGGGGCAGTGTCCAAGTCTTTCTGGGACAAATATGTTTGGTGCCAACTGCACGGAGTATATAGGTTGTGCGAATCTGCTGTCTAGCGGTATCATCTATCCGGTGCAAGCGATGTGCTGCAATCTGCGTGGTGCAAACAGCGCGGTCCAGTCTACAAGGTGCACGCTATGTGGTGTTTTTTTTTTTGTTTTTGTCCGACCGTTTTGGAATCTTCCATTCCATTTTTCATGCAAGCATCCTTCCCACCCGCCTGCAACTTGTTTGGCAAAATCCACTACGGCGTGCTGGCGCGCGCGCGCGCTCGGGCGCAGAGACACCCGCTGGTCTGGCACAGCGGACGCGGCCTCGATGGCGGTTGCCGATGGGAGCTTCCCAGCGCGTCTCAAGCGCCACGCTGGCACGTGGGCGCTGCAGTGCAGGTCCGGAACCCGGGCGGGCGCGATATCATCATGACGCCAATCAAGGCGGCACCGATTATGATCGTAGTGGTGGCGTTGGCGATGGTAATGATGACGACGGTGAGGCCAATGGCTGCGCCGATGCTTGTGACGACGATGACGATGATGTCCACGCGTCGGCGATGAAAGTGAATGTGGTGACATTGGTAACTATGGCGGCGACTGGCGGTGATGATGACGGTGGTGATGCGATAGCGTAGGTGAGTTTACAGGTAGTATGCGCGTGCGCAGAACTGCACGACAGGTGGCAAATTCCTTGCCAAACACACTCCTCCGTTGTTTTTGGAAAAATCGATTTCGAAATGCTTCGAACACCAACGTGTTTAGAAAAGGGTTCAGGCACGTGTGCGTGGCGGCGCGCGCGCTGCTTGCATGGTACGCTTCGCCGCGCGCTCGTACCGTAGGCGTTTGCTGGATGAACGCGGATGCGCAGCGTGATGGGAGATGGGCATATGTGGGTTCCGGGCGAGATCGCTGGCACCATATGGGTCTCCAGTGATTCCAGCAAGTGCGCGCGGGAAGAACAACTGCACGACCTTGAGTGTAGCACCGACATTTTCTATGTTGCGTCGTACGTGCAGAACTAATGTGTATGTTGACCCGATTTCGACGTGTGCGCGCGTGTGGACTCTGCAATACTCCGTTATGCCAAAAAGGGGGTTCTTGAACACTGATCTTTTGAGCTAAACAAGTCTGTGCGCATGGTCCTCCTCCTCCTCCTTTTTCTCCTGTTCCTCCTGCTCCTCCTCCTCCTCCTCCTCCTCCTCCTCCTCCTCCTCCTCCTCACGAGAAGGCCGGCCTTGGGAGAGAGGGGTGGGAATCTGTGTGGTTCTATATGTGTTCGACTACACGTAAGAGTGACCTTTCGCCGGAGTGACCTTTCGTGCGAGCTCATCGGGCTCCCCCCGATCGCCGAGCGCGATGCGATATACGCGGCCCGCTCCCTTGGGCTTGGCTCCCATCGCGCCCCAAAAGCTGCGCACCAAAGGTCACTCTTGCCCAGGGTCACTCTTACGCCTAGCCGGACTATGTGGTGCAAGTGATGTGTTAGGAGGGGAAAAAACACACAGACACAATTAATCGTCGAACCCCCAGAAAATATTGGAAAATATGGGAAGTGGGGGGGAAGAGACAAATCCAGAAAATATGGGAAAATATGGGGACTCTTTTTATTTGTGTGTATTCATTTGTGTGTCCTGGGGCCCCTTCAATGTGGCGCAGTCGTGTGGCGCAGGCTGCGTGGTGCAAGCTGTGTAGTGTCAGCAAGGGGAGCGCCGGCCGCTCCCACTCCCCGAACTGTTGGCACCCCGTCCCGGGGCGCGCCTTCCAGAGAGTGCTTGGAACGGAGTGCCGCCAGCTCGGGGCGGGGAGTCTTCGGGAGCGGAGCTCCATGGAGTGGCCTTAACTCGGGCACGTCCCCCTACAGGAGGAATATCCAAGAATAGTCAAGAAGTAGTCGTGGTACGATTTTTCGATTGTATTGTTTGACTGTTTTTTTGGCAATGTTTTGAGGATTTGTTATTTTTCGTCCAAGAGCCGCCTGTAGGGGGACATGCCCGACCTAAGAGTAGTCCTGGTGGCAGTGGCGTGCTTTGTTCTCATGAAGCTGAGTTATGCAGGCTCTGTGGATGGCCACCGGGCGGAAGCCCGGCAGGTCCAGTCGGAACAGGCGGCAGCGATGAGGCGGCGACGGTTGGGTATAGGGGAACGGAACATGACATGACACATAGAAAGCTCGGAGGTCCGCGCGGATTTCTTGACTCCGCGCTGGACCCCCTCCCCGGCGCGCGGGGCGCACCAGGGGCGGCGCCAGAGGCGCCGCCGTGGGGCCCCAGCGCCGATGCGAGCCCTCCGCGCGGTCCTCCGAGCTTTCGTGCCTATGTCAGGAGGAGAAAAAACACACAGACACCAAAAATCGTCGATTCCCAGGAAAATATGGGAAAATATTGGAAGTGGGGGGGGAAGACAAAAACCCAGAAAATATGGGGAATCTTTTTATTTGTGTGCATTTATTTGTGTGTCCTGGGGCCCCCTCACTATGGCAGGGTGCCCATTTCCAGGCCTCCAACGCCTCGTCCGGTGCACGCCGCGGAGGAAAGTACACGCTGGCAAGCTCGAGTCGGGCACGGTGCACGCCGGTCGTTGAAAGCAGGTATGTTTTTGGATGCCCAGGATCCCGATCTGCTTCAAGCGCCTGCCTACTTCAGGAATCGGCATGGTTTTGCTGTGTGTTTGTCGTTCTCCAGGGGGACCTGGACCGACTCCACGTGATCAACTCCTTCCTACTTCATGTTTGTACCCACTTCTTCCGACCGACGTGTAGTTGTTTTTTCCTATTGCACAGCTGTATTCCAGAGCTCGGACCTCTTTATTTTCGTTCGTCGTCGTTAGTTCGTTCGTCGTTCGTCTTCCCCCCCTGGCCGCAGAAGGGAACTCCCGGAGGAAGGAGGCGAAAGCCTCCTGTCCCTCGCAGCTCCTTGGTGCAAGAGCCAGGGCACACGTGCCACTTGTTCATTGTTTTGCCGATCGGCGCGGGCCCTCGCACCCCCCCCCCTCCCCCTCCCCCTGGAGTGGATCCTGGCTATTTTTGGCGCCCGTTTCGAGCAGGTGGAATCTCTCTCCCCCGTCAGACACACTGTTGCAAACAGTCGCAGTAAGCAGAGGTCCGGAGCCAGACCCCTCCCCCTCCCCCCGTTTCCGCCCAATGTCGAGACGCCGAATAAAGAAAGCTCACATGTCCTCAGCAGGAGGAGTATTCAAAATAGTCGAAGGTTAATCAGGGGACGATTGTCTGACTATGTTTGACCATTTTGTAGTTTTCTCGCTTATTCTTTTTCTTCTCATTACCATCACCGTTCTTAGTATTAGTATTACGACTACTACTACTACTACTACTACTACTACTACTACTACTACTACTACTACTACTACTACTACTACTACTACTACTACTACTACTACTACTACTACTACTACTACTACTACTGCTGCTACTACTACTACTACTACTACTACTACTACTACTACTACTACTACTACTACTAACTACTACTACTACTACTACTACTACTACGACTACGACTACTACGACTACGACTACGACTACGACTACGACTACGACTACGACTACGACTACGACTACTACTACTACTACTACTACTACTACTACTACTACTACTACTACTACTACTACTACTACTACTACTACTACTACTACTACTACTACTACTACTACTGCTACTACTACTACTACTACTACTACTACTACTACTACTACTACTACTACTACTACTACTACTACTACTACTACTACTACTACTACTACTACTACTACTACTACTACTACTACTACTACTACTACTACTACTACTACTACTACTACTACTACTACTACTACTACTACTACTACTACTACTACTACTACTACTACTACTACTACTACTACTACTACTACTACTACTGTTTCTTATTATTCGCCCAAAATCCCCCTGGAGGTGGACATGGCCGACCTAATGATAATCCATTGGTGCAGGCATCGTCTGGGGAAAATGGTCGGACAAACCAGCCGTGGCACAGCGTGGCGCCGTAATCTACGCCAGATGCCATCCGTGCGCTTTGAGGTTGCCCGCGTGCTGAAGGGGGGGCGTAATGCCTGCGGGTACGGCAGATCCGATGCTCGTGGTGTTCCGCAGAGTGCAGCAGATGAGGCATGAGGCCAAGCTGACAAGACGAGTGGAGATAGGAATGGTGCGACGATAGGCATGGACAGAGGTGGGCTTCACATGATTCGCCCGTAGAGAGTCCTGGAAATTGAGCCGAGCGGGGCGCTCCTATGATCGGCAGAGGGGCTGCAGGCCAAGATCGAGAGGAGGCAGGGGGACGGATGCAAATCGAGAGCTCTTCCTCTTGCATTCTGGCGTGATGTGGCCGATGTGAGCGTATTTCCGCCAGAGCGCTGGGGTCGGCGCGGGGCCGCGAGGATGCAAAGATGGGTACGTGAAGGGCGAAGCTGAAGCAGCCTGCGCTTTGGATCTGTACGTGTGTTATCCCATTGCTCAGTCAAGGCTACTAGTAAGGACGAGCGTTGTCCGTCCAGAGCCCTCGGCGCCCCTTCCTACCAATCGTTCGTTCCCTGGCCTCCCCTTCAACCAGCGCGTCCATGGCTTCGCATTAGCTTGGCGTCCCGCCCGCGAGTCCATACTGCGGCGCTTGACTGAGCTCAGTAGTTTGGCGGGGCGCCTAAGGCGCGTTTCGCCAGGACGACCAGGCTGGTCTAGTAGAGGGCAAGGGATGGCAGCAGAAGGCATGAGTGCACCCAGCAGTGGTAAACGTATCGAGGTACAGACGCGACAGAGGCAGCGGTGACGGCATCAGCGAGGGATGAGTTGGGGCTGATGTCCTGGATTGCCAGCGGGTGATGTTGTCTGGATGGGCTGATGAGGCTATCGCAGGGAAAGGGGAGAATATTATATCTTGAAGCGTTCCGAGAGATGGGTCGGATGTGTTGCATCGCGAGAAAGCATGCCCAATCTTGCACGAACGCGGGTGGGGGCGGATGGGTGGGCGAGAGGAGAGCATAAGACGCGGCGCCACGCTGCGCCCTCACAGGAGCATCAAAGCGCACGACTTATTGGCTATACGCTCTCTCTCTCTCTCTCTCTATTTCTCTGCCAATGGCTCATCCCATGATGCGACTTCTGCCTTGGTGCTTGTCTCCTTCGCGATGACCAGATTAGCATGTCTCCTCCCCGAGTGCCATACTGGCAGCCCTCCGTACAAGACAGCAGAAGCAGTGGAGAGCGTAATTGATGCGCCTACGGCGCACGTGCCAAGATCCATGTTTGGTGTACCCTCGCAGGCCTAGAGGTTGACACCGACACCAATATCGGCGGTGTGCCTCCACCGAGGGAAGAAGATCCCGGTCTCGGTGATGGTGTTCATGTTCTGCTTCCAAGGTGGCCGAAATACCACCACCAATGCCGAAATCGAGGATCATCTCCCCCCGTGGAGGCAGCCCCCTGTGTTGGTGTCGGTGGCCCTTCCCAGGGCCTCCCATACCCACTCTTGCTGCTCTGATCCCGGTCTCGGTGATGGTGTTAGTGTTTTGCTTCCAAGGTGGCCGAAATATCACCACCAACACCGGAATCGAGGATCATCTTCCCCCCGTGGAGGCAGCCCCCTCGTGTGGGTGTCGGTGGCCCTCTCCAGGGCCTCCCATACCCACTCCTGCTGCTCTGCCTCGGGCACCCGTGCCTGGCATCACGCGGGAGCGCACCTCGCCGCGTGATTTTGGGGCCGTGCCTGGTCTCCGGGTCGGCCTCTCCTGCTGTGAGGAGCTCTGGCCGGGCACGTCTTTTGCAACAGAACCTCGGGGAGCTTGTCTCCATAGGGGGCCACGTGCGAACCCTACCCCTACCCCCCACGATTTTTCTGAAGGGGGAGGGTGGGGTTCACTTCGCTCGGGAGCTCCCGCACGAAGTGAACCCCACCCTCCCTCTCAGAAATCGATGGGGTAGGGGTAGGGTTCGCACGTGGCCCTCCTACTCCGGCGGTCAGCAGTGTTTCACCTGTCCCCAGCCCCTTCTCCCTCCCCGCCCAGAGATCCCCACCATCCCGCCACCCTCGCTGGGGCTATGCCTCTCGAAGCTCGAAGGGAGCAGCCCATTTCCCCACCTGGGGGGGATAGAATCGGCCAGCGGGGCCCAGGCCACGCCCGTGGGGATAGGGATCGGTGAAACGATGCTCAAGCGGATGAGCAATGCGGGGAGCTTATGTAATTGAACGCCCCTGAGGGGGCAGACACCGGCGCCGCACTGTTTTCCGGAACCCAGAGTTTCTCTGCGGGGGGTGTCATGGCGACCCCAGAGGGTCCAGAAAGGCTCGGAAGGCGGCGTGGGAGGTAGGCCAGAGGCTCCAGGGGCGCGGGTGGTGGTGATGGTGGTAATGGTGCGGAGTTTGGGCGAGGGGGCGACGACGGCCACAGAGGGTCGAGAACGACGCCGAGAAGACTCTAAGAAGGCCACTAAAGGGCCCGAACAGGCTCGGAAGACGGCCCAAAAGGGCACCCGCAGGTGTCGAAAACGGCGGAACGAACCGAAGAGGAGCGCTCCCACGAGTCTTTGGGGCCCCAGAAAGCTCTCCAGGGGCCCCCCCGGGCGCGGTGAAGACGGCCTACGAAGCCTCCAAAAGGGCGGCCAGACGGCCGAAGATGGGTCCAGGAGGCCTTCATGCAGGACGGCTCAGGAGGCCTTGTAGAAAGCCCAACGTGACCGGAGAGGCCCCAAGAGTGGCGCAAGATGCTGCAAGAGACCTCTTAAGAGGCGCAAAGAGGAGGCCGAAAAGGGGAAAATCACCAGGTTCCACTTTTTTTTTAAAAGGTTTTTGGCTTCTCAGTGGTTCGCCTGGGCATGCCTCGCAGAGGGCTTCGGAGGGTTCCGAGACGGCTTCGGAGGGCGCGTAAGGGGGGCCAGAGGAACCCAAGAGGGCTTTAAGAGAGGAGGAGGAGGAGGAGGAGGAGGAGGAGGAGGAGGAGGAGGAGGAGGAGGAGGAGGAGGAAGACTGCCCCAGAGGGCCTTCAGGGAGGTCCCAAACGGCGCCGGGAGGCGTTCGGAAGTCTCGTGCGAAGGCCTGCTTGAGTTGAGGCCAAATGGCCTCCAGCGGACGCTTAGTGCGCAGCCTGGACCCCCCGACCGGCGGAAGGAGCAGGCCCGGGGAGGACCCCAGGAGGGGTTGCCAGGGCTTTGAGGAAAGGAGTTGGTACGAGGAGTGCGCGGGTAAGGGGAGCGAGGGGGAAGAGTTCTTGCAGACCATGCGGCGGAGATTCCACGCGCCGTACCCGGTGGGGCGGCGGATCGCTTCGCTCACTCCGCTGGCCCATTCTGCGCGCCCCCAACCTGATCGTGGACAAGACGCTTGTCTGAGAGGCTGCTCGGGGTCTCTTGGGAGGCCTCTCGGGGGCCTCTTGTTGGTAATTGTGGGACCCCCTGGGGCCTCCGGGTGGCGGAGCATTATTCTGTAGCCCATGCTCATGAACTTGAAATCTATTCCAGCGTGGGAGAGGCGGCGAGGATGCAGCGCGATTTCCTTTAACGAGTTCATTCGATTGACCTGTTCTGCATTCTGTAACGGTTCTTCAGGCTTTGGGTATACGCATGGTGGTTTCCCCCCGCTGGATCGGTTCGGTTCAGCTTTTCAGAGAGATTCAGGCGAGGACGATCGATCTAGTGTGGCTCCGATGACTAAGTGGCAAGCGTGTACTCCTGCACAACATTTGTGAACAAGCGGTTTTAATTATACGAGAATATGTAATCCGTTACGGTCGTCTGGCTCCTTGGCGTGTGACAACTGGGCAGAGTCTTGTGCACCAGCATAATCGTTGTTCTGTGTCACGGGGTCGCTGTCCTACGGTGGGGGGAAAAATGAGTGGACACTCCCCCGCTCCCCAAACTCAAAGTTGGCACGCGCGAGGGAGACTGCGGTCGACGTGGAACTCATCAGACCCACCGCCAACTTTGAACATTGGGGGGAGGGGGGTTCGTTGGTCGATGAATGTGGCATGCGTGTTCGCTATTCTTTGTTCGCGGCCTGTATCTCTTGACCGGTGCACCATCTCACGGTATTATGTTTTGCGCCGTCTGCTAGTCTTGTGTTTCGTCTTGCCTCTACCAAGACTCCATATCTCAAGCAGTGGCGAAGCGTCCTGGCTCGCCTATAGGCCTACCAAAGAATGGTCTAAGCACGCCCTGTTTTTAGACCATTTCAGGCTGAGACTGTCTTATCTTAACACATCGGGCTTATGTTCTAAGAACATTGCTTGTGTTCCTAGAACATTTTCAGGTTCTAAGAACAGCTCGTGGTGGGCCTATAGGAATGCCGGGACGGTCGATCCCTGCTCAACTATCCACGATCGTGGGCATCGCGCAGCTTTCGGGCTCTGACGGCCTGTGAGAGGTGGCCTACCGACCGCAGTGATTTCCCTGCGCCGCGGCCACCTGAACTCTGATGGCCCGCCTGCGCTGAGCATGCTTTGACGTCCTGGACCGCTTGACGGCTTGATGATTTGTCTGCAGCGCAGCAGTGGCGTCGTGATGAGAGTAACGCGGGGCTGCCAGCGAAGTGTTGTTCCCATCGATGCCCCAGCGTGTTGGCTTGATGTGGTCTTATGGGGAAGGTGCTGCTAGCGAGATAGGTCTGTTGGTATGTTCGCATGGCTGGGGGAGGTGAGAGCATTGCAGTAACAGGCAGACATTTCCCTTGCTGACCCGAGCAGGTCGCTCGTTAATCTGATTGACGTGTTCTGTCCCTCCGTGCCCATCGATCTTTAGTAAGCTGGTCATCGTTGCAAGGTCAGGTAAACAATAGCTCGGTCGCAGCTCGCGCCATTTTTTGTCGGAACGGTAGCGGTATGTACGGTTGTTGTGTGGGCCGATGCTCTTTCATTAACGTTGGCCCCCTCTCTTCAGCAAGCCCCATGCTGGCGAACGCGAACTGACAAAGAGAAAGCGGCTCCGCCGAGAGGATGGGGCAGAGCGTGAGCGCAGATGCGCAAGCCCTGCAGCTGAATGAGCTGCTCAGCTCGGACGACCCAAACCCTCAGACGGCCAAGCCGAGCACCGCCGCGCTGGCAGGAGCCGTGCTGGGCTTCCCTTTGAAGAACGTGTGCTTTGCACCTTCGGGGGGGGCATTTCCTGTTCTGTAAATGGCAGTCTTATCTTGTACTCCAGTGCGGATCCGGTGTGGATTCGACACGGACTCGACACGGATTCGACACGGATTCGACATTGATTCGACATGGGTTTGGCACATGTGCGAGACGGATGGTTGGGGCGATGGGGCAGACGAGGTCCTTCAGCGATGCGACGTAACACATAACGAAATTGTGTGTGTCTTGGATTTGTCTTTTGAGTGGTCCTGTCGTCGACCAGAACTCCGACCAATTCCTTGAACCAGGAGATACGATTCGGAGCTACCTCGTCGGGCCAGGCCAGACATCTTCGGTCGATCCCAGGCCCACAGCTGAAGCAGCTTCGTCAGGGGCACGCGCTGGGGCAGCGGTCTTCCGACTTCGGCGTGGGCTGTGGCCTGGCCAGCTGCTCTGCTCGGGCCGGACGAAAGGGAGGGATTGGGAAAGGGGGGGTTGCCAAATCTGCTGCATGCAGCTGGTTTCGGCCCCGCCGCCGGGCCCATTCCTCGATACATGGGCGCCTCCGGCGCCGGGAGGCGCCAGGAAAATCAGCTACGTGAGCTGGTTCTCAAACCCCGCCCTTTGCTATATCCCTCCCTTTCGCCCGGCCCGGTCTGCGTTGCCGCGCGTGGGGTGGTCGCACGCGTGTGTCGGGCACCCTCCGCTCCCCTCGGCCCCTGTGGCTGCACCTCGCCACGAGAGGCTAGATTCAAGCCGGGCATGTCCTCCACAGGCGGAACATTCAGAAATAGCCCCCAAATAGTCCGAGGACGATTTTTTCCCCAATCAGTGCTTGCTCTGAAGGGGTCCTAGCGGAAGTTGGACAGATTTGGCGAAAGTTTCCCGCCGATTTTGGTGGCAGGTTGGGTTCCCCGGTTCCCGTTCCGGGTTCCCGGGTTCCTTCTTGTTGGTTCCATGCCGATTTCGGTGTGGGTTCCGGGGCTCCCGGGTTCCCATTCGATCTCCCCAGCGAGAACTATCCACTGATTGGGTTTTTTCCTGGGTGTAATTGACTATGTTTGGAGATGTTTGTCAATTTTGTATTTTTCGTCTGGAATCCGCCTGTAGGAGGACATGCCCGACCTGAAGCTGTGTGTAGCGGTCATGGTCGTGGGACCCAGTGCCCGGAAAGCACAGCCTTGCAGGTCATCACTGTGCTGTGCCGTCTCCTTCCACACCTTGTCTTGAGGAGCATCAGGAAGCGCAGGAGTTCGACATCGCACCTCGTTTGCCCTACTGAGTCTCTTCTACTCGGCGCGTCCTGGTCACGTGCGAGGCTCTGGCGTCAAGTTGTGTTTCCTTTGGTGCTGTAGCGAGGTAGAGGCCCCGTCCAGGAATTGCGGCGCATCACGTCAGAGCTTGGAAGTTCGAGGACATCAATGGGCCCTCCCCTCAGCATCGCGCCAGCCTGGGGAATGCTCGGGGACCTGTGTTTGCAGGTCACCACCATTGTGGTTACCGTCCATGTTTTTTGTTTGCGGTGCATGGGCGCACGATTGCCAATTGCTACCTTGCGCAGGGTTGTTTACAAGAATTGTCAAGGTATTGTTACTCAGCAGCCGCGTGTCTCGACAATTCGGTGTTAACATTACGGCTTTCACATTATGAGCTCTAAGGGATGTGTTCAGCTCTGGAGCCCGAGCATGAATTATGGGTGTCGTCCTTCCCCAGAGTCATGCTTGACTGTTGTGATGCCATGCCGAGGGTGAGAGCGTGGATCAACGCCTTAATGCAGCCTGCTTTTCGTGGCCCGATTGCTCTCGACGCGCGTCTGCTTGATCGTGTCGGCGGAGGGACAGCCGCGCACGTGCGCTGCGCTTGCACCAGTGCCCATTTCCGTAGCTCTGGCTCAGTCTCCTCGGCTCGCGAAGCGCCAGGGGGCGGAAGCGGGTCAGTCGCATGGGCGCCGCGCGGTCCGTCGAGGCCGAGACCATTCCCGACGAGGAGCCTGGCGCGCCCGAGCCCGATGCCGGCAGGCCGTACTTCTTCGTGGCCGCGTGCCCAGTCGGGCAGGCAGAGGAGGCGATCGCGACCGCTGGCAGATACGGCGGCTTCCACTGCCTCGACGAGCAGGGCGGGGGCTCGGACTCGGACACGGCGCAGGCCCTGGCCAAGTGGAAGGGCCAGGCGCAGGGCCAGTTCAGCATTCTGCAGAAGCTCTCGCCAGAGGGGCGCAAGGTGTCAGATTCTCGTTTGGGGGACCTTCCTGGGGCCCACCTAACGGATCTGTTCGACCCCAGTTCGACTCAAGTTCGACTCGGGTTCGACTCAGGTTCGACTCAGGTTCGACTCAGATTCGACTCACAGTCGATTTCGACGCAGCTTCGACGCACGAGTGGAGCGAGTGGCTCCAGGAAGGTTCCCGGGATGAGCAGCCCAAAGGTGGTGGTGGTGGTCGTCGGCGGAGCCGGGGAGCAGGCGGAGCAGGCGCGGTTCCTGGACAGGCTGTCTAGGAGAAGAGGCTACGAGCAGCTCGACGTGAAGCGGTGTCGGGACGTCCAGGACCTGGAGCGCTGGCTAAAGGCTCGGGGGCGGCCAGGAGGGGGGGGGGGATGACACTAGGGGGCGGGGGGATATCATGGCGGGGGCCACGATGTCTCCCCAGATCTCATGGATATCTCTCCAGATGTCATGGCGCCTCGTCTTACTTCAGCGCGTCCCCGGCGGCCCCCTGGGCCGCGCACGTGCCGCCGGTCATGGTTTGCGCCCCCCCTCTTGGACGCCCCCCTCTTTGGCCGCCCCCGGAAGGCCAGCGGCTACAGGCGCGTCCAGGTGCTGGGGTTGGCCTGCAGGCCCCTGTTCAGCACTCTCTTCACAGGGGGCGAGCCCTCGCCACCCCGCTCCACCGCTCTCCCCGCGGTCGCCGAGGAGTCGCCGCAGGCGGGCGAGGCGGAAGCGTCTCACGATCGGACGAAGCCGTGGAACCCCGTCGCCTCCCTGATGGAGACCGACCTGTCCATGTTGGGCGGGCCCTTCGCGGCGAGAAGGGAGAGAGCCCTCTCTGACTGCGAGATGGCCGTGGAAGTGTCCAGGGACGTCCGCTCGGACGACCCCCAGGCGCTGCGGGCGGCGAAGGTGAAGCTCGGCGCCGCCATCTCCGACGCGGTCGCCGCGGGCGTGAAGGAGCGCGATCTGCAGCGCGCCCGCGAGAGGGAGGAGGAACTCCAGCGTTAAGTCGGGCATGTCCATCTACAGGAGGAATGTTCAAAAATAGCCAGAAATAGCAAGGGGACGATGTGTCTTTCTTTTTGTGTGTGTGGGGGGAGATGATTTTCACATATTATTTGACTGTTTGTTGCCTCGTCCAAACTCCGCCTGTAGGAGGACATGCCCGACCTAACTCCAGCGGCTGGCCGACGCGAGGGGCGGCCTGAGCTTCCTCTGCTGCCGAGGGGCTGCGCGAGGGGCGGGGGAGCAGGCGGCCGAGGCCGCCGCGCTGCCCGAGCCCATCCCGAGGCTCCGGCCGGGCACGAGGTGCCGCTACGACTCCGCGACGAAGAAGGCGCTGCTCAGCGCCGTGGTGGAGGATCGACTCCTCCTCCCCCCCCCCCTTCCCCCTCCCCCTCCCCCTCCCCCTCCTCCTCCTCCCCCTCCTCCTCCTCCTCCTCCTCCTCCTCCTCCCCTCCTCCCCTCGACCTCCTCCTCCACCTCCTCCTCCTCCTCCTCCCTCCCCCTCCCTCCCCCTCCCCCTCCCCCCCTCCCCCTCCTTGTCCTCCTCCACCACCACCACCACCACCACCTCCTGCTCCCCCTCCCCCTCCCCCTCCTCCCCCTCCCTCCCCCCCTCCCCCTCCTCCCCCTCCCCTCCTCCCTCCCCCCTCCCCCTCCCCTCCCCCTCCCCCTCCTCCTCTCCCCCTCCTCCACCTCCTGCTCCTCCCCCTCCCCCTCCCCTCCCCCTCCCCCTCCCCCTCCCCCTCCTCCTCCTCCTCCTCCTCCTCCTCCTCCTCCTCCTCCTCCCTCCTGCACCCCCTCCTCCTCCACCTCTGCACCCCCTCCCCTCCCCCCTTCCCCTTCCCCCCTCCTCCTCCTCCGCCTCCTCCTCCTCCTCCTCCTGTTCCTCCTCCTCTTCCTCCTCCTTCTGCGCGGTGTCAGGAGATGATCGATCGATGCTCGTGCACGCTCACGAAGGCCTGGCACGCTGCCAGGACATCGTTTTCTAAGGCGGTCAAGGACTGGCTCCTACGGGCGTTGCCCCAGGGGGCCGAGAAGGCCCGTGCGTGGCTGAAGCGTCACCAAGGTGAATCGCTGGAGCATTTCGTCGCCCCCGAGGGCGTGCTTCAGCTGCCAGAGGAGATGGAGTCGCTTCTGGACGGCCAGCCCATCCCAACTCATTGTGCTCGATGAAGCGTTGGATGAGCTAAGGTTGCGGGCGCTGCCGGTCGCCCCTGAGCTTCCTGATATCGAGCCTCGGGATGTGTTTACGGCGAGCCGAGTTTTCTCTGAAACCATTGCTGTGGGGGTTGATCATTGGAGGCCCCGTGATTTCCTGGATTTGGACTCCCAGGCCCTGGCCTCCCTGGCTCAGCTTTTTACGTCGTGTGGGAAGGCCATGCTGTGGCCCGCCCAGATTTTCTTGGGGATCATCTCCCTTTTGCCCAAAAGCGCTCTTGACGAGCGCCCTGTTTGCAAGTGTATGACCCTTCATAGGGTTTACTGCAACATCCGTGGGGTTTTCTTGGAGCAATGGTCCAGGGGCATACGGATTTCTGGGACGATGCGGTCCGTGGGGGCTCTGCCCTTCAGGCTGCTCTTAGGAGGGAGATATGTCACCAGGTTGCTAGGTTCGAGGGCGTCAAGAGCGTGGCGGTGCATTAGGATCTCACCAAGTTGTTTGACACGATGGTCCCCGCGCGGCTCGTCTCTTTCGCCTGCGACCTTGAGTTTCCTCCTCACCTCCTCTTACCTGGGCCTCCTGATTCATGTCACTCCGAGAATGTTGGAATCGGCTGGTTTTTGTTATGATACGGGCATGGGGGTCCTCCCTGGGTGCAAGCAGTCTATGTCTTGGGTTAAGGTGTATGAGTACCAGATCTTGCAGGACGTTCACCATCGGCTTTCACCTGGGTTCTCCATTAGGTCGTATGTAGATGATTTCTCCCAGGTGGCCCATGGTAGTGCGGAGGAAGTGCGCAAGAAGATTGTTTGCGCTGCTGTGCACCTGGGCCATTCCCTGGGGTCAGTGGAGCTGATTCTATCGGACAGATTTGCCTGGGCAACAGCCAGCCGCTCACCCTCTTGATCCGGAATGACCACTCGGACCTGGGCACCTCTACCACTGCTGGTAAGAGAAGGTCTGTGGCCATTATGAACAAGAGGCGGCGAATGGCTGCCCTGAAAGCTTGTAAGGTTCGGTTTCTTACTAAGTTGGTCAAACAGACTTCTAACTTGTATAAGCCTGGAGTGTTAGGTGTCGGTACTTGGGGGCATCAAATGGTGGGGTGTTCTACGAACCAGGTCCAGAGTGTGCGAGGGCAGGTTGCTGTTTGCTCTGGTGCTTGGCATGCTGGTGCATGCTCTACTACTATCCTCGGCATTATGGGAGGGGTTCGTAGTGACCCTATGTATCGACTTCGTCGTGAGCACCTCAAAGGTTTCGCCTCCACTTGGGCTGCTCTGGGGCAGTCGTTTCAGTTGTTTGCTTCTTCTCTTTGGAGGAGCAAGGTTCAAGAGTTCAGTCGTATACCTGCCAAGAATATATGGCGTCGAGTGCGTGGCCCTGTGGCCGCTACTGTTGCTGTTCTGCTCGATCTAGGATGGGTTCCTCTTTCCCTTGTGCGCTGGCGTGACGAGCGGGGCGTATTTATCCGACTGTCCCAGCCTGGTGTTCGTGTGCACTTTCGCCGCTCCATCCAGCTTGCGTGCGATGCTATTGTTTGGCGGCAGGCAGCTCGGCACTACATGGGGAAAGGGGTCGAGGGAGGCGTTGATTTCACGCGTTTTCATAAAGAGTATGGGAGGAGGGGACGCGAGCTGGGTCACAAGGGGCAGGCTAGTTTGGTGAACACCGTATCGGGAGGTTATTGGACGGAGCTTCGATTGCACGAAGCTGGGTATGAGTCTGCTGCCCTGGGTGCTTGTGTGCGTTGCGGAGAGCAGCAGGAGACCCCTTTTTTCCCATAGTTTTTGGCAATGCCTTCTGAACGAGATCAATCCAGGCACGACGGTCGGCGATTCCGCCCACTTGCCTGAGCGTGCTGCTCAAGATGATTGCGTTACCTTGTGGTGCCGCGGGCTCATGCCGCTAGATCGCACCATAGGGCACCTTCCCGCTCCTTCCGACGAGATTTGGTTCTGGGGGTCGCTCGAGGATCGGGGGGTCAACGAAGGAGGAGTTTGGAGGATCGGCGGGTCGGGGTGGGGGGGACGTTTGCGAACGATTCCGGGCTAAGGAGATGCGGGTGGGCTTGCGGGCGCTTGTCCACTGCCTTAGATGATGTTGATGGTGGCTTTGCTTGCACCCTGCCAAGGGCCCGACCAGTCGTCTCCTCGTGCCGAGCTCCTGGTTCTGATTCCTGTGCTCAGGTATGCTTCAGGTAGAAGGTTGATTCTCAGCGACTGCCTTCCTGTTGTCCGTGGTTTCCGAAGCCCGAGGTTGGCCATGATAAACAGTGATATGATGGATTTATGGGTTAACCTCTGGAGAGTTTTGGATCGACGGAGTGGAGATGCGGACTTACGTTGGACCAAGAGTGACCCCACTGAAACCCAAGTCCGCGCCCTCGGGCCAACACGCATCGAGTTTTTTTGTTTGAACGGAGCTGCCGACGCATGTGCGTCAGAAGCTGCGAGGAGGACAGAGTTTCCCGAGCACCTCTCGGCTCGGACCCTACTGCAAGATGACCTCCACGTGGCCATCCTCCGACGCCTCGTGGCCATCCAGCGGGATGCTTTCTCGACGTGCCCTCGCGACGGGCCGCATGCTCGTGCTGGGAGAGGCGAAGGCCTCGACCACGCGCGTCGGAGGAGGCGCAGTCTCGCAGCAGCTCGTGAAGATAGGGCGCGGGGTGCGAGAGCAAGGCCACTGCCCTGTCCTGCTCCGCACCTGGATCAAGTGTAGTACTCCAGATTTCGTAATAAAAGGGAGGGGGTCTGGACCCTCCAAGACAAGCCATTTCAGACCCCCCCCCTGGGAGAACCCTCCAAAACATCGTCCGCAGACCCCCCCAGGCCCTCCAAGATAGCCTGGAAGAGACCCCCCCCGAAATGAGACCCCCCTCCCTTTATTACGAAATCTGGAGTATCTGTCGTGCCAAGTTCAGTGTGCGCGGGGCGATGTCTGATGTCTGGCCCAGCGCGTGTACTGGCAGTCGTTTCGCACGCTTCGCCGCCTCGAGGAGTGAGGATCAGGTTCGGGACCCTGGGCCCGCGGTGGTGGGCGCTGAAGCTCACCAGTTGGCCATCCATTGCCACAAGACCCATTCCTTGTCTGTGTTGAATGGGATTTTGTATTGCTCGACCTGTGGGTGCTTCGCGGTGCAAAGCTGTCGCGGCCTGCGGGTGCAGTGCGAGCCTGTCTGGCACGAGGGCTCCCGCCAAAGTCGGGAGTGTCTTTCCCTCGAGAGTGATGTGGCTGGGGCGGCCGAGCTAGCACTCGGGAGCCGCGCGCTCGCCATAGCGCCATAGCTCCTCTTCCTCCTCCTCCTCCTCCTCCTCCTCCTCCTCTTCCTCCGCCGCTTCCTCCTCCTCCCCCTCCTCCTCCCCCTCCTCCTCCTCCACCTCCTCCTCCTCTTCCTCCCCCTCCTCCTCCGCCGCTTCCTCCTCGCCCCCTCCTCTTCCTCTTCCTCTCCTCCTCCTCCCCCTCCTCCTCCTCTCCTCCTCTTCCTCCTCCTCCCCTCCTCCTCTCCTCCTCTTCCTCTTCTCCTCCTCCTCCTCCTCCTCCTCCTCCTCCTCCTCCTCATCCTCCTCCTCCTCCTCCTCCTCCTCCTCCGCTCGAGGACGAAACAGCGGCAGAATCATAAACTCTGGACGCTCCGCGCGGATTTCTTGGATCTGCGCTTGGGCCCCCTGGCGGCGCTTCCGACGCCGCCCCTGGCGCGCGGAGCGCGCCAGGGAGGGGGCACCGGCGCAGATCCAAGAAGTCCGCGCGGACCGTCAGAAGTTTGTGTTTGTGCCGTTGTTTTGTTCCCCCATGCGCGTAAGAAGGGCCTTTCGCGGGAGGGGCTTTCGGTGCGGGCGCCTTGGGGTCCCCGATCGCCGGACGCGATGCGATGTTAGCGTCCAGCGCGCTTGTGTTTTGGCCCCTCCGCGGCTTCTTGACAGCCGCGCACCAAAGGTCACTCTTACGGCGGCGGCGTTCGTTAAGGAATGCGACCACCCCTGTACTTATCTGATAAGGGCGGCGGTGATATCCATGGCCGAACCACGATCGAAGTTCTACCGGCTTCGAGACCCTGGGTTCCTTATCCATCGGTTCCTTATCCAATGCCCCCACCGTGCCCATCCAGGTATCCTAGATGGGGTCCGAGTAGATAGGGTCGCAGGATCGCGCCGTATCGTCGATGCATTCGCGATGCGGCCCGCTGTGGAGCCCGATGTTCTACACGTCGGCGTCGCCGATGTATCGACAACATCGCCGATGCGTCGCCGGTGCATCGCCGATGCATGGCCGATGCATCGCCGATCTGGCGCGATCCTCCGACCCCATCTATTCGGACCCCACCTAGGATTAACTCGGGCCTGTCCCCCTACAAGGGGGTTTTGGACGAAAATTGAAAATGCCCCAAACATGCTCCAAGCATGCCCCCAAACAGTCCACAACTCGTCCCTGGACAATTTCTGGACTAGTTCTGAACATTCCTCCTGTAGAAGCACAGGCCCGACTGGAAACCTAGGAGGCCTCTGATCCAGGGTCGCTCTCGCGCGCGCAGCCGAGAGGAGTTCAACGAGAGCGACTGCACCTACGACCTCGACGTGCGGCCGCACGCGCAGCCGGAGCTCATCTCGCCGGACCCCCGCGCGGCGGCGGCCGAGGCGTGGCCCGCCGGCACCCTCGTGGACTACACGGGCGGCGGCGGCGGGCGCGCGGTGCCCGCCGTCATCGTGTCCTTCGCCGAGGGGCGCCTCGGCGCCGAGGGGACCTACGACCTGGACGTGTGCCAGCGGGTGCCCGTGGCCGACATCCGGCCTCGCCGCTGACCCCGCCAGAGGGGCACGTTTCCCACCACCACCACCACCACCAGAGGAAGTTGGGGAGGAGGAGGAGGAGGAGGAGGAGGAGGAGGAGGAGGAGGAGGAGGAGCAGGTGGAGGATGAGGAGGAGGAGGAGGATGAGGAGAAAGAAGAGGAGGAGGAGAGGAGGAGGAGGAGGAGGAGGAGAGGAGGAGGAGGAGGAGGAAGGACCCCCTCCCCCTCCTACTTACGGTGGAAGTGGCGGAAGACAAGCCCACCACCACCGCCGAATTTTTTTGTTGTGCCGCCGCGCTGCGCGCCAGCGCCGACAGTAGGCCCGGCGCGGCGAGAGGGGGAAGGGTAAAGTCGGGCATGTCCCTCTACAGGCGGGATGTTCAAGAATAGTGAACAAAAATGTCGAGTGACGATTTTTCGTATTCTTTGGACTATGTTTGGCTATATGCTGCCTTTTGTTCTTTTCAGCTCATTTCAACATCCGCCTGTAGGAGGACATGCCCGACCTAAGGGAAGGGGGAGGGGCGGCAGTATCCTCTCGGCGTATTCCTGGTCCGTTGGTCTGCCCGTGTTCTACCTGTCCTCCTCTCGTTCCCCCCTCCACAAAGGATCGGGGAAGCGTAAGACCCGAGCAATTCCCCGCCGGAACTCGGGTCGGCCGACGCTTTCTGACGAGCGCGTCCTGGATCTCGACGGTCCAGTCTTCGCGGGAGACCGCGTCAAATCTCGGACTGGGTCCCGTCCATGTCATGACCGTCGCCCCGTAAGGCCAACCCGAGTCCCCCTGAGCTCGAGTCTTCCGTCTCCCCGACAACGGCAGCCGCGCTCGCACGAGCGCCCGGGTGATGGCTGAGGGGCCGTCCGCGCAGCATCGGAGGGCACCAACTATACACCAACACCGATCCTGGCCCAGGATCACCCTGGGCCCAGGATCGGAGGCTATGCCTTCTTGCGCAAGGCAGGAGGGCGTATTCACCGATCCTGGGCCCAGGGTGATCCTGGCCAGGATCGGTGTTGGTGTATAGTTGGTGCCTTCCTAGCAGCAGGTCGGCTCACGCGCGTCTCCGCCGGCCAGAGCCTCTGCCTGGTTTCACACCTCTGGTCCGCTCTCCTCTCTCTCTTCTCGGAGGTGGGCGAGTTGAGGCAGCGGCAATTGTAGGTCGGGCGTGTCCTCCTGCAGGGGGATGTTGGGCGAAAAATCAAAACATATTCAAAACGTACCCCCAAAATGTTTGAAAATAGTTAGAAAAATAGCCCCCACACTATCTTTTGACTATTTTCGCAGATCCCTCCTGTAGAGGGACAGGCCCGACTTAACGGCAGTTGTCCTTTGGGGGGGGGGTGGGCTTTTGTCGACACGGCTGGCCGCAGCTCGGAAAACTGCGTCTGGACCCTGGGAGGGGTCCAGGGACCGACTTTCAGTTGCCGTGGTCTCAATTCGCCCTCTGCTCCGATCTTCCCAGTCCTCCTCCTCCCAGCTCTGGTCTTGGATGTAGGCTCACTGGTAGGGCTTGTGCAGTCGAGCTTCGCAGAACGGAGGAGTTCCTGTCTGTCCTCCTCGCTGCGGCACTGCTGCCGTGTCGCTGCTGACTCGAAAAAGAACGGGTGATGGGGGTGGACCGGCGCATGGAGGCAAATTTGCCCACCGGCGCTTGCCCCACGATTTGACAACCAATGCGAAAGACTCAGCCAGGATCCGCATTCCGATGTTTCGCAAGGTAACCTTTCGGCATCGTCACGCCCACCCGGGGATCTGCAGTGTTGCTTCTTGCGCTCGTTTCGTAGAAGGCTACCCCGTGTCAAGGGCCATCCGTCCTGAAGGGAACGTGGTCATGCTATTGCGCAGGCCTTACGGCCGGTGCCGCCGACCCTGAAGGGAGACGACGACGACGACGACGACGACGACGACGACGACGACGACGACGACGACGACGACGACGACGACGACGACGACGACGACGACGACGACGACGACGACGGCGGCGGCGGCGGCGGCGGCGGCGGCGGCGGCGGCGGCGGCGGCGGCGGCGACGCTGACTGGGCCAGAGTCCTAAGGGATGCTTCTTAGGGGTCGCTTCGGATGGCTCTCGGGGGCCTCTGGGGAGGAATTTTGGGGGCCTCTCAGGAGAAGCCTTTTAATTTTGGGGAGGAATTTTGGGGAGGAATTTTTGGGGCCTCTGGGGAGGAATTTTGGGGGCCTCTGGGGAGGAATTTTGGGGGCCTCTTAGGAGGAGCCTCTGGGGGGCTCCTCCTCGGGCTTCCTGGGGGCCCTGTGGGCTTCGTTGGGCCTCTTGGGGAACCTCTTGGCGCCTCCTGGCAGCCTCTCGGGGCCGAGGGCTCGACATGTGCGTTCGGGTCCCTCGTCTGGGCACGCTCTTGGAGCAGTCTCGGGGGCCTCTTGGGCCGTCTTGGAGGCGTGTTGGGTCGTCTTGGGGTCTCCTCTTGGGCTGTTTGGGGTCCCTCTTGGAGGCCTCTTGGGCCGTCGTGGGGCGATCTTGGGGGCCTCTTGCGCCGTCTCGGAGCGGCGGGATGTGGAAAAGGCGAGAACGCCCCAATCTTTCTAAAGCCAGCAGCAAATCAATGATCTTGACCTCATGGCGCCCTCTCGAGGGTGCTCTTGAAGGCTTCTGGGAGCGTCTTGGAGGCCTCCTGGGCAGTCTGGAGGGTGTGAAGGCGTTTTGGACCGATAGTTTTGCGATTCGGGACCCTCTTGAACTGTCTCGGGGGCCTCTTGGGGCACTCTTGGCCTGTCTTGGTTCTTTCTGAGGCCGCGGGACCCCCTTGGGGGGGATGCTCACCTGACGCCCCCCCTAACCCCCCTCCTGCCCCCCCTGGACACCCCCCGACACCCCCAGCGACCACCACCTGGCGGGGGAGGGATCAAAAGAGAAGGGGCTCCCTGTCGACTCGATTACGACAGTGCTAAATTGTTCTCTCGCTGACAAGTTTCGGGAGGAGGGTGTTGTGTTAAGTCGGGCCTGTCCCTCTACAGGAGGAATATTCTTTAATAGTCAAGAATAGTCGTGGACAATGTTTTGATCATTGTTTGAATATGTATGAGCATGTTTTGGGTATTTATCATTTCTCGTCCAAAGTCCGCCTGTAGGGGGACGTACCCGATCTAAGTATTGGGTAAGGGGACGACGGAGACGACGACTAACGGAGACGACGTCTCGAACAGACAAGCCGCCCCTCACACGCTCCGACAGGGTCGGCGGATCGGGACCTGGCAGCCTCTCGTCACGCGGTGCTGAGCCACGGTACCAGCCGCTGCAATAAGCGGCTTGAATAAGGAACACTTGTTTTTCAAAAAGGGTTCGGTCGTTCCTTAGGCTCGCATGTATTGTTTTACGTTCCATATGCGTTATATATTGATAATTGTTCTTTATGCGTTACTCCTTGGAAACAGTGGCTTCGTTCCTATGTATCGCTCCTTGGAAAAAGGTCAGGCCAATGACTGTATCATCGAACATGATTATTGAGGCTTCCGATGAGGACAGTGATTAGGATCAAGTCGGGCATGCCCCTCTACAGGAGGAGTGTTCAAAACTGGTCAAGCATTGTCTGGGACGATTTCATTTGACTATGTTCGAGTCTGAATTCTTTGCATGTGTTGACTACAGTTGATGTTTCCCCTCAAAGCCGCTTGTGGGAGGACATGCCCGACCTAAGATTAAGATGCAACTCCTGGAAGGTTGCATTCAGCAGCGGCGCTGACATATCGGTGGTCGACCACCAGCCCGATCCGGCATACACCCCGTTTGGATGTACTCAGTCCGGCCTTGTCTGGCTGACTCCCGGGTCAAATCTGGGCGACTGGCTGAAGCCTGGCCTCCCTGATCATTGGATACTGGAATTCTCCAGTCGCGACCGACGACATCGGTCGCTACCGATTTTGCTTCAAATTTCGGTATCGGTCGCGACCGACGTGCTTCAGCATCGGTCGCGACCGCTCGGCCGCGACCGATCGGCCGCGATCGGTGGCCACCGGCCGCATCCGATTCTGGGATCCGTCGCGATCGGTCGCGACCGATTTGGAGTGCCGCGCGGTCGCTACCGCCTGCGACCGAACAAAAAAGAAGGGTATCCAATGATCTGGGCTCGTCTTGTGGAAGTCGATTAATGGAGAGGAAGCATGCTGCCAAATACTTCCCAGATATCTACAAGCTGTGTCAGACATGTGTTACGTATGTAAAAACATGTTTGAAACAGGTTTAGAACATGTTCTACACATTAAAAACACACATCCTTAGTTCCATGGTAGGATGTTTGGAGTGTCCACTGCCATGGCATCCGCAAGGTTAGTCTGGCTGGGTCCCGGGCCAAATCTGGGCTTCTGCCCCGGTTCAGTGTCCCTCAGCTCGGGCCTCGCCGCCCCGGCTCGCTCTTGTGCGCGAGCCTCCCATGGGGTGCCACCAGAGAGCTGCGCGCGGGGGCTCCCCGCGGTCGCCCAGGCCCGCCCGGATCCTCGTGCCACGAGGTCATTGGCAATTCGGAGGTGGACAGGGCTCCTACCATGACACGTCGATTCAGGAATTGGCCGTCTTCGGCTCGCGGGAGGGCGTCGCGGCCGTCATTTCTGCGGGTCCGGGTCCGTCGGTTTCGGTCCCAGGCCGTTTTCACTGAGGGGGGGGTTACTAAAGGGAGGTTTGTCCACCGCCGAGTGTTTAGAAAGGGGGAGCCCTCAGAAGCTGACAGGCACCTTGCAGTGGGGACCCATGCCAAGAAGCACCCGGCTTGCCTCCAGGGCGCCCTGTTTTTTTTGGGTTTCGATGGCTTTTCTAGGGAGAGCGCGACGATCCCACCGGGGAAGTCAAGGGACGTCCTAGGGTCTCCCCCCCACACCAAACCACCCCAACCCAACCCGAAGGCTCAGATTTACCCTCGATTTCCAGTGGGGGGGGTCGGGAAACATCGAAAAACACATGTGGAACCCTTACCCCCACCAACCCGAAATTCGGGTCTTCGGGTTGGGTTGGGGTGGTCTGGTAGGTAGTCATCTAAGGGGAGGTTTACTAAAGGGAGGTTTGTCTCCACCGCTGAGTTGGGTCGCCCACGTGGGGCGCGAAGGGCCACAGCTCGCCGCGCCCCGCGCTCTGCCGACGAGGTGTGCTTCCTCGGGCGCGGCGCGAGGGCGCCGGGGTTCTCCCGCGCCGCGCCGCGCGGAGCGCGACGGAGCCGGCGGGGGCGCAGCGAGAAGGAGAAGG